CCCGAGTGTAGTAGCCCCTGAGGTTTTGTTTTGGGGCGTGTCCTGGTGTCCTGACGTGTCCAAAAAGGGTGTTGTTGCGGGCTTTCTCTCACTGAAGACAGGATGTGTCCTGATAGAAACACGTGTCTATAAAAATGTCCAAAAAAGGGCGTGGTTTTCCACACACAGAATAATAACACGTCCTCCTTTTGCACCGAGGAGGAACCATCTGTTTATGTGACGACGACTAACACATATGAATACCAGCATTCGTAATAACTTTATTTTTGGACCTTTTTCTAATCATGGCAGATACTCTCTGAAAATCTCCGCTTTTGCAAGTTTCCTATATATATGGTATGTTTTCTAGTAAATGTATTGTATTAGCATTTTGCCCCTTTTCAAGTATAAAATTGGAGTGGTTTGAAGTATTGCGATTCAGGTTGTCTCCTCTGATCTTTTTAAGGAGTCGCTAAATGGGTTATATGGTTTTCATCATTGATGATTATTGCATAGACATTTATCTTGACATGTTCACGCTGCAGCTTGATCTTGATATTTTTTACATCGGATACATTTAAATAGCGAGATAAACACATTATTTCGTCAAATAAATGCAAAAATATCACAATTTCACGTTATCTATTCGTTTTTACGAATTAAGTGATATCTATGAACACGTATGTGTTTATATATACACACACGTAACTAGGTGTGTGTGTGTGTGTGGTGGTGTTGTTTTTGTTTGTTTGTGTCGTGCGTGTGTGTGTGTGTGTTGTGTGTGTGTGTGTGTGTGTGTGTGTGTGTGTGTGTGTGTGTGTGTGTGTGTGTGTGTGTGTGTGTGTGTGTGTGTGTGTGTAAGTGCGTGCGTGCGTGCGTGCGTACGTGCGAGCGTAAGTGCGTAAGTGCGTGCGTGCGTGAGTAAAGTGCGTGCGTAAGTGCGTGTGTACGTGCGTGTGTACGTGTGCGTGCGTGCGTACGTGCGTGCGTGCGTACGTGCATGCGTGCTTGCGTGCGTACGTGCGTACATGTGTATGTGTTTGCGTATTAATTTTCATTTGAAGAAAAGGAAGTTTTCAAGTCGTTGCATTCGTTTCGGGCGTGACTTCAATGTATAAAAACAACAATTGAATAACCCGCAATGTTTTGTGTACTGAAATATGTACATACATAAACCGATACCTTGTATTGATAAGTAGATATCTATAATACCAAATCTGCAAAATATACAATGTACGCAATATCGAAAATCCTATCGAGCAAAAACAAAGCAAACCATTAAAACAACTAAATAAATGGACACACATTTCAGGGGATGTGAAGTAGTCACCAGTAAAACTTTCCCGGCATTTCCTCCTGACATGAAGTTTGTTACGGTTATTTGCTCATTCCACTGTGAAAAATCGCTGGAATGAACAATGTTACAGCGGTAGACAATGACATACAGAGGCCTAGTGATGCCCGGTGCCAACTCTTCGACTGCATGCCCAGAAGACTCAAGAATAAGGCCTAGTACAGAGATATATTATGAGAAAGGGATATTTAGAATATGAGAACAGATGAAACATGAAGTAAACACTTTATTCGACTTAAATATGTTTCAAAATCACTCTTTTTTCCCTCTCTGCAAACCACTGGCGGCAGGTACTTTGTTCATTCGTAAAAATGATCGAAAGAGAATAATTTTGTGGCTGGCAGAACATATGTGTGTATGTGTGAAGGCCATTTTCACGTTACAGAAAGAGCAGATTATATCACTTGAAGGTCATTCTCATGTTAAAGAAAAAAGAAAAAAAAAAAGAGTAAACGCGGCATTTTCGAGATGGGTGAGTGAGAGGAAGACTAGACCCATCTGTAGCGGCGCCCATATATTTTTGTCTGGGTGTGGCCTGATGCATATACTAAAATCATCTAAATCCGATCTGTTTATATTCAAAATAAGGTTACTGAAACTTAGGAATACAGACACGCACGTGCATATAAATGCATATGCATATGTATACATACATACATTATATATATATATATATTAATATATATATATATATACATATATATAATATATATATTGTACACACATATATATATATAGTGTGTGTGTGTGTGTGTGTGTGTCGTGATATGTGTGTGTGTGTGTGTGGTGTGTGTGTGTGTATGTGTGTTGTGTGTGTGTGTGTGTGTGTGTGTGCGCGCGCACACACACACATACACACACACACACACACACACACACACACACACACAACACATATATATATTATATATTAATATATATATATATGATATATATATGTATATGTGTGTGTGTATTGTGTGTGTGTGTGTGTGTGTGGTGTCTGTGTTGGTGTGTGTTATATATATGTATATATGTATATATGTATATTTGTATATATGTATATGTATACATATGTATATTATATGTATATAATATATACATATATACATATATATATAATATATATATATATATATATATATATTGTGTATACATATTTATAATTAAAGAGAGAGCGAGAGAGAG